TCAAAGATTAAACAAACACAGTAACAAAATATAAATAACATATTTCAGATATCAAAGTCTGAAACCTTTTGGTCCTGGCACTGCACAGAAGTTACCAGTTTTGACAACTTACCATACTAGCTTCTGTTGCAGCTATTCGATTAAGAACTTTCATCATATTTGTTGGTGCAACAGGCTTGAAACTGTTGAATTTCATTTAAAAAAAATTAATTAGTTTCTGACTTCTCATTTATTTCAATCAAGTTTTAATGAGATAAAAGATCTTACCTGATAGTGGATATACACAATTCCTCTAGAATTTCCGCTGGGAACAGTAATCTCTGGTTGCTGTCTCCACTGAAGTTATCCGAGATTATAAATATGAGGGGACATCTACTTGTACTAACAAATCTCCTAAATTGAAAAATAAGCAAGTATAACAAGAATTTAACTCCAGCATACTGCAAGTGGCTACAGTTAATCATTAAAAACTTACTTGCAACTGACCTGAGAATGTCATGTAGACTGCTAGGGTCTCGATAGAATTGGTTAGGTATGTCCTATTCAAAACAAAAGAAGTGCTGTTATTACATTCAGACATACATGTTCTCTCCCACAGACTGACTGTTACGGCACACTACGTTGCTACACATCTTTTCTTCCTAGTTAGCTTGCTTTCAACTACGTTTGAATGTGGCTAACAGTAAAGATAACCAGGGGGAAAAAAACAAAGGGGAAAAAAAAAACAACAAAGCATAGCATTTGTTTGTTTTATTATGGAAAAAATTTACCTAAAAAGAAAAATTTTCTTTCTGTCCTTCTTTCCCAAGAAACAGCCTTGGGTGATTACACTGCCTACGACACAGAATTTTACTCCGAGGATAACCGCTGAAGGTAGCAGCTCCACTGAGGAAAAGAGCAGGCTATGTTATTTGAGATATGAGAGGACCTACACAAGGAAGTGACTTCATGAAGAGAAGTCACAGAAAACTACAGTGCCTCACATTACTTAGCTAGAATTTTTATCTCATCTGTTCTTTTTCTTGAAAGTTTACAGACAACCTGACTATCATAACTTGTAAAATTCCTGTGTCAGAAAAAACAAAAAGCTTAGAAACAAAACGCTATGGAAACACACTCCTGAACAAGTGAAAATACCATTATGGCTTACAAACCCTCAGAGTTCACATCTCTGCCCTAAACAACCCCCCCTGCATAAGACCAGGCAATGCTACATGTCAAACGCTTTCCGACTGTATTATTTCTCACATACCTTCTACACTCTCCTGCACCCTTAATAACAAGAATAGTGGGAGTTTTTTCTCTCCTGTTTATACACACATATATTTCTAGAAAGCTAATCATACAGAAACATGGGCATGACTTGTCAATATTGTTTTGATCTATGTTTTGATACCCTGTTACTTATTTCTGTACACAAGGTAGTCTCCAATTTCTGCCTATTCACTTATATAGTTTAACTACAGGTAGAACTTGGTTCTAGCCTGCTGTAGAGACTCGAAAAGTAACAAAGAACTCATCTACAGTAAAGCAGACTAACTTTTGGCAACACCAATCCACCAGCCGAAGCTAGTTAGGATGTCAATATTATAATAAAAGTTACTGTTTTCAAAACAAGATTTCACAAGTTTTCACTTACTTCAATAAGAATAAGCTTTTTATCATTTTCTGAGGGCTCCCCAAGCATCTGAAGTTTGTTATACTTATTTGCTCTTAACAGAAAATCTTGAAAGATAGTTGCTTGGGCCTGACTCGGTAACGTATGAAAAACTGAGTCTGAAAAAGAAAACTAATTAAAAATATGTATTCTATATTATACCAAGTAGAATATAAATACCCACAAGAACTAATAGCCACCCATGCTATTTTCTGACAGTAGCCATTGAACACCAGCAGCCAAGCCCTTTGGCAAACACATTACAAATACAGAGAATTTTTAAACGGTAGAATTCAATTGAGGAGCCAGGCCAAGACAGACTTACCTATTTTTATTTCATTGGCTCAGAGATATCCAGGCTATTACACAGTGCTCTACACTGATTTAGATTGCAAATTATTTTGGAGTAAATACTGTAAAAAAACTAAATCCCTTTTCAAATAAAAGCAAAATATTCTTATTAAACACTAAGGACCTGACTTACACGGATGTGGATCTGACTTTCTACATGACAGAGACAAAAAAACAATTAAAAAAATACAGAATACAAAAATCACAAAAGTTACTGGAAGAAAAGAATAGAACAAGAAAATCAAAATACTTACCAGGGCCAAACATATTTCTTAAGTCTTCTTTTGTAAAGTCTAAAGATATTGGATTGGTCCATTCTTGCACCTGAACGCCAAGATCTTTTGCTAATATTTGTATAGTTGCAGTCTTTCCACAACCAGAAGGACCAGTCAGCAGTAAAACAGAGGCACCCTGTCATGGGAGAGAGGGGAGGGGGAGAAGACCAACAAAAATCCCAAATGTGATAAATAAGAGTGAAAGTTGGCTGAAGATGAATATTGGCTGAATTTCTTCTATAGTTTCTCTGGTAATGGTTCTCTTTTCCCAATAAAAAACTTGAGTTAAATATTCTGTGTTATTAATTTACCAGTTGAGTATTCAGATAGAAAGAGGCCAGAACTCCAAAAGCCTTGCTCTCAGTTTTTAATGTATCTGTTCAGTTAACTGCACACCATGTACACTACCAACATAATCCGTACTGAACTGGAGAATCGCGTCTGAAAAACACTAGGCAAGACTGGTACATGATGCATAAAAATGTCTCTTACCCATCAAGACGTTAAAAGCACCCTATCACATCAAGTCAGTGCAACTGAAAATTTGCCAAGATACTTAAAATTAATCTGTGGGAGATATAAAATGCAGTTACAAGCACACACTGAAGAGGTATGAACTGGCTGGATGCTAGAAAATGGTATTTCAGAGCCCAACCAGAATCCATCTCTTAGCAGCATAAACCCTAAACAAATGTAAAAGCTCTAATCTATGTCCTTAACAGATTTCTTATTATGCAATACATAATCACTACCCACAATTTGAGGTTTTTCTCTGAAATTAAAATTAAATTGAACCCAGCTTGTTTGTATGGTTTTAATATCTCAGCTGCTACTTTTAGCAAGATTACCTGCTTTGGCTGCCTCTGAAATATGTGCATTTTTAACCAGGTTTCCACTTCTTCAATTTTCTTCTTTTGCACAGCAAGGTCATTCTAAAACAAGATTAAAATATAAGAAATGCATATAGACGCCTCTTGGTTTCTAAGACTGTAATGATGAGATTCAAGAACAGAATATATGCTGACTAGAACATTAACACATGCATACGTGTACATTCCAGTTACATATGTTTATGCTACATAGAAGTGCAACAGTTAGGGATAACCATTTCAGCCTGTTTCTTCAAACAACGAATTTTCCCTTGCTTGCAGCTGGGAAATATTGAATTGTTTATTATTCCTGAAGTAACATCACTACAATCTTGCCTGTTTGTGTCAGTATGCTTTATAGCCATTGCTGGTACTTTTTAGGCTCTACTGACTCTTATACTACATACTACTACTTCTTTAGCTGTTGATTTCCCTAGTACTTGGAGCTGTCAGATCTGGATGAAATTCAGTAAAGGGTTCAAAAGTTTAGGAATGGATGGACAGGAAACAACAGCTCATCAGTAGCTCTATTTCCTCAGGAAGCCTGGGGGAAAAAAATGCCTCTCCTACAGAGAAATAGCTCATCAAAATCTTAACTACAGACAGTAAATAAATCAAACTGGTACTTCACTGCCCTAATAACATAGGCTATCCTTAGAGCCTGACCAATACTGACTACGAACAGCAGCCCAACATGCTACAGCGTGATGTTACACGATAATGTTAATGCTACATTAGCACTTAGAACAAGTCTCACACCTGAGTTTCAGGTTTGTATCTATCTACCCACGGCTCATCTTGAGATTGGCTCCCGTGTTGTCTGTACTTGTTACAAGGCAGATCTACTGAAGATGACTTTGTTCTTTTTCTGGACAGAACTTTGGGTTTGCTACTTTCTGGCACAGAAGTCAGGTTTTTCTTCTGCTGCCGTTTTTTTCCAGAGTTGCCTTCTAGTGGCTTCACAGGAACTGCACTAGAAGAAATATTTGTGTTTCCAAAGAAGTCATCAAAAGAACGTGCCAACCAGTCTGTTACCTGGTAAAATACAAATATTTTGGTATTAATGTAGCGCTCTCTTCAGCTTAATTGGGTACAGTTGTCTCCAGAAAATTGGCGATTTTTATCAAGTGTATATAAAAATATCATGTAGGCGTAAAGAACATTATTAGTACTGAAAGGCATACTACTAGTTACCAAGAAACATGGACACATATGCTTTTTGAATATGCCATTTACATGCTTCTTCAGCATTAAAAGAGCTACACCTTACACGTTGTGATAGAGTATTTTGTGGCAAATTGGCAAATCAGAAGAAGCTGAGGGTGCCACAAAGCTGAGGGTGCCACAAACGCACATTCAAACTAAAAAAAGTAAAATTAAAACAGAGATAAGAATGAAAAAATAGCATAAGCTTATTTATACCATTTTTATATTCAGGTTACATTCATGTTGTCTCTGTATAGTTTTCATTAAGTGGCAGGGTTTTTTTCTTTAACATTTACAATGCAGCCATTCATGCTTACAGTTTAGAAATAGGTTACAGAGAAAACTTATTTAGGCAGCACAGCAAAATCAAGTATCATTTGTTTGAAATACCCTGCTAGGACCAGTGTACAAACTTACACCACAGAGCCACTTTTCAGCCCACCTGTGGTCCTAAGATAACATCCCAGCGGTTACCCGCTCTCTGCTGCTAACAACCGTGCAATAACCTTTCAGCATAGGAACCATAATGGGCTACATGCCGAAACACAGTTCTGTGGAAATGGGAGTGATGGAGTAGACACGTCACCTCCAAAAAGGTCTGTGAATACGCTACAGTTTGCACGTCTTATAAATTAATGCAATATGCCGTTACCAGACAAGAAATTAGGTGAGAGTAACGGGCATTAGCAACCGTGAAAGATGATTTGTCTCTGCACAGTTTGCTTTTAACGTTATTATGACAAAAACTATTTTTAGTTAAATTTGCATATTTACCAGCGGGCCGGATACCACCGTGTCAGGGGGTTTCCTCTTTACACGTTGCACTAGTGAGAAAACAAACATCTCCCACGTACGAAAAAAAAAAAAAACAAACCCAAAAACATAACC